TGCAAATTCTTCTACCCGAGGATGTACCCCAAATACTCGGTCGAGCGAACATTGGTTTAGCACTACATTAAATACTTGTTTACAGATTAAAAACAAACATCAAAACTAAGGTAAAATTGTTAAATTAAACGTTGTTTTTGAAATTCGGTTTCTTGAAAGCAAACTGGAGTGTTCACATGGAAAATATATCATCGCATATGTACATGATTTATACATATAATTAATCAACACACGTCCTTCGTACTTGACGCAGTTAGCGTGTTAAAATAAATACCTACCTTGCAGTATTAGAATTCGCGCAGACCTCAAGTGCGTAGCAGACCTAAAGTGCGCGCAGACCTTAAGTGCGCGCAGACCTAATAATCCGCGTGCATGTAAACGTTTGTCACCATGTCCTTGATACAAAATACTGCAAGTTACATCTAGACAAATTAGAAATTATTTTATATGCCATTATGACGTGTATCAGCCATTGAATTCGTTTTTGAAGCTGCACAAAGAAACTCTCCATTTTATTTTTCTCTTTGGATTTTTCGATTGGAAATTTTAACAAAAACTTTCGTGAAAATTTTAAGTATCCAAATGTTTGAAAATGTCATTTTAACAGGGGAAACTGTAATTGTAGTGTGATTTTCACGTCTTGTATCGTTTCAAGCACGTTTCACTGTGAGCGAAATCGTTAAAACTGCGCGAAAATATCGCCTTCCAGGTTGGCTTTAGGCTGCGCGAAATTACATCGCGCGAATTTGAGACTGAGTGAAAATTGATACCATGCACGCGCGAATTTAAACACGAGTATCTATCAAGGCGTCTATATCACAGAGAAATACATTTTATACTTATTTATTCATTGTAACAGTCGTGAAACATGAAGTTGGCTGATGTAACAGAATGCCGATATACCTTTGCAATATAGCTACAATGGGAAGATTGATTTACACACATTACACAAAAGACAAGCTAGACGTCAACCCAGTCTGCCGGTCCCAGTTTCACACCGTCTAACATGAAATGGTCACGGCAGATACGACCAAGTTGAAACAATTAAGGCTTCGTGCACGTATACGTGTTCCGCTTTTAGTAATAGCCTGTACATCACATAATGGAGCATATAGTGATTTACTTAACTTTATAATTAATATCAAATGTTCGCATATATATGAGACACAATATGTCTTATTTTTAGAACAGCGTGTTTATGACTTCGACTGGCCTCCATCTACGGCTACACTTCTGGTGGAAATAAGCTAAGATGAAAGTTGCTAAATCCACAGTTTTGTTCGCTTCCGAAATGAACGTGTTATTGTGAGCCGGAACATCGAACAGTTTCGTATACGCTATAAAACCATGGCTGAGAATTCCCCTAAATGCAAGCGTCAGTGCTGGAGAACACACGTTCCAGACGAGTACAGAATTTTTACGGGAGAACATAATAGAAAGGTAAGCGCAATGTTCATTTTTGTTAATTTTGTGTGAGTGGTTTCATAAAATAATTCGAATTTTACCAAAAGTGGCGTTAAAATATTGACTAAAGTACTTGAAACGCTGAGCTTCCGGTTAGCGAGTTTTACTGAAATACCGCGGTCGTCGTCTTAATCGTTGGTTATCGCTTGAAAAATTATTATAGAATTAAAAATATAGCCGCAGTACCCATTGAAATTTTACTGTTATACTCAAACACTGCCCATTCGCGCTCGGTCACTATAATATTTTAAGTCTCTTTGACCGAGCGTTTTCAGTAAGGTTTCAGGAAAGCTAAAATCATTTGACATCATATCCGCTGGATTTGACAAACGCACGTTTTACAACAATGTGTCACAGGTTAATTCACGTGTGCGCAGTATAGATACAAGAACAGCCTATCTATTAGGTTTATAACTTCTAAAAACATCCTTTTCGCTTGTAAGTACATAAATTGAAATATTTGATAAGCATGCAGGACAAAATTTGCCATGCAACTCAATTGTGGTTGGAGTTTTAAATGTTCGATATGCCTTGAAAATTTTTATCGTTAGGTTTGTGAATAAGTATAGCGTTACGTCTTTTGAAAACATTATAATCGGCCGTAAGTTTGAAGCATAAAATTTTATACCAGTATATGTGTGTGTCACAATTGTGCTTTTTACAATAACGCATTGACTATCATCGTTAAATGTTGAAATACCACAATAAACATACAAATATGGCGCACAAACGAGTGAGTTTGATTATGCGTCCCTTTTTACCAAAGCATCCAAGAAACTCGCTACTGCATAAATTGCGCGTTTAGCTTAATCCACTCTTATAATTCACTCTTCAATTCTGTATAGTTATCATTTCATATATTTCAATTGACGGCACGTGCTAACTTTATCATAAGTATTAGCATAATATGCGTGGCAATATTTTGCAGCATGGTACAGCCTAAGTTTAATTTGCTTGGCGAAGTATTAACGTTCAGCAATTCATGCTTGTATATAGCTACATACATACATACATAGTTGGGTAAAATGTCTTAGATGTTCCGTCAAATTATGCGTACAAGTACGAGTCGTTTCCTAGTGCAATAATTCACAATTTAATACAGTGGAAAAATAAAATGCGCAAAGAAAGTGGCCAGTTGAGGTCAGTTGGTCAATTCACAGAATTTTAAACCGGTAGTCGAAATTTTAATTTTTTGCTCTCACAATGTTCATGGATGTTTCAAAAAATTCCCTCGTTCTTTCGATTCTCATCTTTCGAAAGATATTTGATCTTGCCGCGATGGGATTTCCCCCCAGCGATACACGTGCGCACATGGGGTGAGATCAAGGTCCGTTCATGCATTGATACAGTCAGTCAGGGTAGAAAACAATTATAAAATAATAGAAATCCTAAATGGCATATCATTTTATCAAATGAGTCGTGATAAAATACCTCCATGTGATACGAGGCAACATTTGCTGCAACTTGCAAGGCAACTATTACAACACCATCCTCGGAGCAAAATAACGGGAAAATTTCCTTGAAATTGTACTTGACGGAATTCGGAAGTCAAGTACTTGCTTACTTAATTTGCCAATGGCAATGTGAATAAAACCACTTAAAACTGTTAATCCGCACCATTAATTTCAACTAGTTAAAATCGACGGAGATTCGACGTCTAAAACAGGCCTCGCACTGCCGACATTAACAGTAAAGCCGAGCGGGATTGAGTCGAGCGAGAGTGAGTCGAGCGGGATTTGATGTTTAAACACGAACCTTTGGGACACCGGTTAGAGCCAACAAGGAGGGATGCGAGATTTCCTAATTTTAAGCGCACAAAACATTTTCGTGTCTACTTAGCAATTTTCTAAACAACAAATTTCCAAACGACAAGAGGCATAAAAGAAATGTCAAATGATGAGAATGAAAAATATCATAACCTCGCTATATAAGCCTGAAATTGCGTTGAACGTTGCAACAAAACAGGCCATCCTCTGCACAGAAAACAACATATGCATGCTACTCGGAATCGGACTAAAATCGATAGACTGCATGTTCATTTGGTATATTACTATATGTTCACACGAGTGGCTCGTTCAGTAGCATACTTGGGTAATGCGTAATTTAAAATCTTCCAGACCTATAGCTGATTTAACTCAAATTTTAACTCACTGAGAACGCGATATTTGAATGCACAGTCGGGACTATATACATATAGCTTATAGATACAACATCCAACCAATTCCCTAACATCGACCGAATAACATCATGTATAATAATAAAAGACAGCAACCAGATATGAGCGGGATATAGCAAACATAAAATTATTCTAAACGAAACCGCCCCAGATAGGTGTTTCCCCGCGAGCCACTGCCCACTGGTCTGTAGTATATATAAGACCCTTGCAGCGCGCAAATCAGTTAGTTCAAAACTGTCTACTACGGATACGTTATACAGTAGCTCAGAAGGTAAATGCCATTCCATTTAAGTTATGTGATGTTCAATATATATTGTCATTGGGTTACGTCGTTTTACATTGGAATTCTGAATGTGTCTCACGCGTAGAAATTGTGTGTATATATATTTCTCAACCACTGATAATTCATGAACACAATGCAAAGGAAGTCAACACCGCACCATTGCCTTGATACCACAATAAATAATGGTCCATTAATAATTTAATAGTCAGCTTTAGCGTTGAATTTCTCTTTAAGTACTACTTTGCTTAAGATCATACACGCAAAAGTTGACTTCATTTATGGACGTTAATTACCGCAGTATCAAGAGAACGACACGGTGCCGACTCGCTTTGCGTTTGCTCATGAATTATTAATGCTTTTGATAACCATTTATTGTGCTGCGAATCAAGATGTTGCCCTTATCTTCTACGGGAAAGCGTTCCTCCGTCTACCCTACACAAAGTATTTGATAAAATTCATAAGCATGATATATTACGAAATTTCAATGAAGTGAATTCATGGTTTCTGAAAAAATCTCTGGTTCTGGGTTGGATATTTCCCTAGGATAAAATGGATTGGAAATCTTCGTCTAGAGAGTTACTTCGATAGTGCATTGTCTCACTAATAAGTACATGTGCGGGAAAACCCTTCAGGTCATGACTTGGGCGCAGTTTCTGTTAATTAGTCCGATTTCAAATTCGGCCCACATGCAGTTTAGATTACATAACATCAGCCGTGTAGGTTCAGAGGTGAAACTTGTTTTATTTGCCAAGCGCCTGAAATTTTACTCATCAGTGGGACAAAAATGGTTTAAGTATCTCGTTAAACACGCATAATCGGTTACAATTTGAAAGCTATTTTTCAAAATCTCAAACTCATTAATAATTCATCAGGAAATTAGCCAGCTATTTTGCTTTGTTCCTGCATTCCTGGGATTGAATGAAAGTTATTTCATTTCACAAATAAAACAAGAGTATAGTAATACATAGTTAAATTAGCTATATTCATTGATCAACCAAACTTTATTTTATAGTGCCACAAAATCAATTATACAGCAAAATGTCACAACTCATCATCTATCTGTCATGTGTATTGGCAATGGTTTGCCAAGCACAGTGTGCAACCAAAACACTGTGCTCAACTGAGCGAGTTGAGTTAAGAACCGAAGTGGCTGTGTCCTACGGTGACTTGGTAAGCAGTAATTCGAGCAGTAGAGTTTGTGTATTTGGAGTGTTGGCTAGTTAGTACAGTGCGACTGGGAGTTGTGTTGCACTCCCTCCCACCTCCACCCCCAATATTTGTTCCTGAATAATTTCAGAGAAACACCTGGTACGTAAATGTACAAATTTAAAACACTGCTTTTAGGTAATGTACAACGTAATTTTAAAAAATCATGACGACAAAGTTCTCGCTACATCCCTGAGTGCATGTGCCTTTCACATTTGCGATCGGGAATCGACTTCTGCGATTTGCTGTTCTCTGCATGGGTTCCAGTGGCAAGTAAGACAGGTCTTACAACTTCACTCTCCCAAAACGCCACAGGTTTACCCTGGATATACTCCAGTTTCGTCCTGTTGTTAAAACGAACCAAATTAGGGATACCTATATAGCAGGACTTCTAGAAAGAACAATTCAGAACTGACAAAGTTATCTAGTCCAATTAAAATTAGTTTAGTTTAACTAAAGAAAAACCCATTTCTAAGCTGAGTGGCTTGAACACCAACTCGTCTCTTTTCGTTACTCACATGAACTCTAAAAACATCATTTTTATAGGAAAACGTTGGAAGAAAAGAAATGCCAAGCTTTTACAGCAAAGGAGTAAAGTGTCGGGTAAGCAACTAATGCAAACCTTCAAAGATAAGCCTTGGGTTATACAGAAGGGGCTTATCTTCCAGGAAGATTGTATACAGGGTGTATAAACTAAAGAATATTAGTGATATATGTCATTTTGTAACCATGATATAAATCATTGAAAGGTTGGGGAGTTTATACTGTGAAAAATAACTGACTTAATGAAAAATAATTTTCCTTAATTCCTTTACCTTTAATTCGTGGGCTATAATTTCATGTTTTCATTCTTTCAGGGCTACATGAATAAAGAATCGCCATTTCCGACTAATATGCTTAAGGGATCTCTGAGAAAAGTAAGTAGGATACCTCCGAGGCTGCGCCAGTATGCATTTACTTATAAATATACATGAAATGTTACTCGATTCTGATTGGCTAAGAGGGGTTCAATGACTGTGAACAATGATTCAGACACTTGTATCAGGTTGTTGTGAGTAAGTTACTTATTTCACAACGTTTCATACCTCCAACTGACGTGAATTTAATTACTTCTGCGTAATTATTTTTCATGTATATTTATTAATACACACTTCTCTCGTGTTGTCCCAACATCCCCATCGTGTATTGTCACACCATAAACACACGTTAAGTGATAAAATGGTTTCTCGTCCAATTCGGAAAAACAAACTCTCGTGAGTTCTTCAAACTTCAAAGACTTCGCCCTTCCGAAAAACTCACTCGCGCATATATTTTTCCATATTGCACTCTAAACCATACACTGTACATGAGGGGCACATGGCATCACTTGGGGTAATATTTCGCCGAATCTCACGAGCGGAGAGTCTACAAATGGATAAAAATCAAACAAATTATGCATGGACGTTACTTATATGTTCACTTGTGTTTATTACAGTTCCTGGGTATCAAATTCGCGCAACAAAACTACAAGCTTTTCCGACCATTCCTGGACGCCTTCATGGTTATCCGAAATGGTTCAACTACAGTGCCGAGCAAAGCACCCGAGCTACAATTATGGAATGTAAATACCTACGTTACCCAAATTGTATTGTGCCTTGTTACAAAGGTAAGAAAAAACAAAAACCTAAAAGATCCGTTTATAAATTAGCTCATTTCGTATAGCGTAGTATTGGTAGATACTACCTTGATATTTATCAAACAAAGTCACGGCGGCCATACAGTGGCGTGCTGGGTACTATTTTTCTGGAGGGGCCAGTGGGCTGTCAGCCAATAGGCGCCCCTCTAATGTTACACTTGATAAACGAGGGCCGAAGGCACGAGCCGAGTGCCGCAGGTGCGAGGTTTGTCTAGGGGGGTCCGGGGGCATGCCCCCCAGGAAAATTTTTGAATTTAGAGTCTCTGAAATGCCATTTCCTGGACTTTGGGGGAAGATTTGACAGACATCTGATGGTCAGGAAACGGCATTATAACGTGTCGAAATTTGCAATTTGGTTAGAATTTAGTAGTAGTACTTAAATTATGCAATGCTAACTACTTCCAGCGATTAATCTAATCCCAATTCTGTTCTCTACTGATCTACTGTTCTGAGTACATTTACAACTTAAAGCTCTTTTATACAATAACACGCGCACCCCACGCATATGCATTTTAAGGTTTCTTTGCCTGGCTGCCAAAAGGGCATGTTTCAGCATTATTTCATTACTTACATTACTCATGCTTCTTGTGCAAACAACTAAATTGCGTACACAACTTTACATCAGTTATCATAACTTCAACTATCTAATTTGCGCCGCTCTCGTGATTCGTGAAGCATAATAAAGGGCATAATATAAGGGCATAATACCAGCAAAAAGGGCATAATTCTCGCTCGTGATCACTTCGATCGAAACCTGACCAATATTCCGGTAATGAGACATTGCCTGTGATCACTGATCATGTTTCTATATGAACGATTTCGTGTGAGCTGTGAGGTAGCAAATACGGTTAGGTTCGATACGGCTTACAGGGAACCAGGATTAGGAAACCAAGACAAGAATTTCTGAATGAACGAAGCCATACGCGTATTCTTAAATCATAGCCAGACTATACTGTAAACCAAGAATTGCGTAAAACGTTTGAGCAGCAGGTTCGACTCATGCCAGAGGGCCTCTAGTTGCATTTTTCGGAACTGATTCTGGTTAGGTCTGAATAGATGTATAAAATTTGCATAAATCGAACCCCATTGTGAAAGGCATATATATATATATATATATATATATATATATATATATATATATATATACTAACCAAATTTTCAACATTTGTATAAAGATGTGCCGAGTATTTAACTGGTTATACTTGTGCTTCTATTTCAGGCTCCTTCTGTACATAAACTCCTTCCCATAAAATATGACGCCTTGTTGCATAAACTGGATGTCAAACAATGTCTGGTAAGTCCAAAATTCGAATGAAACCATGTATATATAGCTAAGCAATTTGTTAGTAGTTACTTTTGTTTTGAGCAGCAGTTAGTAGTTACTTTTGTTTTGAGCAGCAGTTAGTAGTTATTTTTGTCTTGCAAATATTGACAACGTTAACGTTTGATAAATTTGCATACACTGAATTAAATACATATTTTGCCTCACAAACATGCATTTTTATCAGTGGCGTCGCTTAGCGGGAGGAGGGCGGGGGGCGTAGTTTTAGATTCATTCAAATCTATCAAAAATGGGGGGGGGGGAGTTATTAGAAATTGATGCATGTGAGTACGTCTCTCAAGCCGGTATTCTGAAAATCAATATTTGACAGGTGTAATGATTCAGCATCAGATGTAGGATGCAAGGTCGGATTTTGGTGGAAATAGTGGGCGAGGTGAAAGAAAATTAGGGGAGGTGCAGCAGTCTATATCACGACCCCCATTGAAAGTTTGGGCTTAGAACGGGCCAAAGTCAACGACGCGACGTGTCAGTATTTAGTGTATACCTATGTATCAGTGTATGAATTATGACTGTACAACTCATCCAATTTTGCCCTTCATTACAATTACTACAAAGGTTCTTTCAAAACATTGCCTCAAAAGGGTACTTGACACAGATATCACTGTTTCAATTTTACAGAAAAACTTTCTTACGAAGTGTAGACTATGAGCAACCAAAAAAATGTAAAATTTTCACTTTGATAGTCACGGAAACTCTTCCAAGGGGAGGTGCACGACTTTTCAGGGGAGGTGCAAAAATTCTAAGGGGAGGTGCAAAACGATCTCAGGGGAGGTGCGCACCTCCTCTCAAAATCCGACCATGGTAAAGCCCGCCGCACACGAGAGCAACTTGCTGAGCTAACCGCCTCGCGAGGCGGTTAGCTCAGCAAGTAGCTCTCGTGTGCGGATAGTTTTCGTGAGGATTTGACCTCTCGAGGCCTTGAGGAAAATATCTATCGTGTTTGATATTTTTCACCTCGCGAGGAAAAAATCTCAGCGTCTGCGGATATTGTGAGCTAAGTGCTGAGCTGTTTGAATCAATTAGTCAATGACAACCCATAGTTTCTTCATGTGACATGGAACAAAATGGAGGAAAATGCAAATAATTTTGTTAATTATGTTGTTCTTGAGTAGTTTTCCCAACGTGTGCGGTGAAAATACATAGCTGAGCTAGCTGCCACTCGAGGCGGTTAGCTCAGCAAGTTGCTCTCGTGTGCGGCGGGCTTAAGATGTAGCCTGCGGCTAAATTATGCATGGTAACTATAATATATTATACAAATAATATAATGGTAAGGTGAAAGCCTTATTAGATTTTCCATTCCAGGAGGTGTCGAATTTTCCTTGCTCAGACTGTTAAAATGTCATTTTTTTGGACCAATGGCAGACACTTGGGGGAGGGGGGATTTAGGTTGTCAACATATAGCCTACCGATTGCTTTCACAGTTTCACGGATAGCGAAGCGCACTCGAAAATATTTTCTGCATGCAGTTATTCATCTATCATTCAAAGGCTTTTTTGAAATTGTGGGGCGGGGGACAGCAGGTTCGATGCCTGCCAGAGGGCCTATATATAGAGGATATTACATGGCGGCGCGAAGATATGCGGATTATTATCTTCGAGTGGTGAAAACAATATTTTACGAACGAGCGCAGAGAGGGAGTAAAATATTGTTTTTAACACGAGAAGATAAAAGTCATATCTTCAAGCCACCGTGTAATGTTCTGTTTATTATACAGTCCCAAGCAAAAAATTGCGAAATTTCACGCCCAAAAAGCAAATTGGAAAAAGTCACGTGATCGATATCTTCACTAGTGAAGATATGGAAAATATTTCACTGTGTATTTTTCGGTATCTCTATATATACTATATAATAAAGTTGTATATTTCGCGATTATATGGTCCTGGTTAGGTCTAATAAATGTATACAATTTACACTCCAAATTTACATCTACAAAACCCTTCAACAATCAGGTCCATCGAGTGAGAAGCCCCAAATCCTAAAATATTTTAACTGCACATTATAGATCAATGCTGGAATAAAGGCAACCACAAGAAGAGTTCAGATAGTTCAATACAGTGAAATCTTCGAGGAGTTGCATCAGGCTGTAAAGGGCATGAGCAATATTGCCGCGTTGATCAATTTCTTAAAGTTGAAATGAAACGTCGGAAGAGAAAACTAATTTGTAACATCCAATGGTTATAGCCATTGGATATTAGTAAATTCATAATGGATGTTACAAAGTAAACGTAATATTTACGTGTATATATAAATATATATTAGTAAAAAGTAAGGCATCGTAATGATGTTAATAAATATACGATATACAATAAGATATAATTTAATTTGTAATATTAAGTAAAAATATAATCATGTAAATGTGTAGTATTTAAGGTGTGACAAACCCAAAATATGCCTTTTGATGTGTAATATTTGGGTCATTCTAAGAACAAATGTAGCTAATGTCTTTATAGTAAAACTTTCAGTTTAATAAAATGTTCTAAAAAATAAACGGCACGTGTGACCAAATGTGTTCAATTTAAGGGCATCCATATACTGTTTTTTGGCAACAGCAAAATTTATGATTTAGAGCGGAATTTTTGAACAAAGAAAATGGCATCTGAGTTACAGAAAATACTACCTCAAGAGTATGAAATTTTTACCTAAATTGACGTCACTGTCGTTGCTATGATAACCGTCTCGATATGGCCGATTTTTTAAACGCATTTAACTCGAAAAATTTCTCTTCCGCGGGTGTTCTGCCGTGTGGTTTTTTGCAATTTGCATCTTGTTCCTCGCATTCACATAAGAAAAACACGTAAAATATTTTAGTCATATTTTTTTATTAGTATTCGATCTTTAAAGCATTACATAAATCTTTCAATCCGTATATCACTCTTATGGCAAAAACAAGGAGGAACGTTTGTAGCAACTCTTGGGCAATGGTAGCATGCTTTAGGAATAGTTAATAGAAAATAAATATGGTTAGGAAGGCCGGTGAACTTCAATGGTTTTCACAACGGAACTGCAACCCATTTTGAACACGGTATGGAGGTCCACATTCCACAAATAATTGGTCGTATAGGTCAATTAATATTTAAGCATTACGCTCGAGCATGGTTATTCAATGTCTGGAACACTGATGGCAATAAACTGTCGACGATGTGAAATAATCTGTTCGTTTGCACGTGTACTCTGTATGCACATCAGTCTTTAGTCATGTCAGAAATATATGGACACTGTACTCTCCAAAGCATGTTTATTTTCTATTAACTATGTTTCATGCCATGACATGCGAAGCTTGATCGAAATCAACCACTTTTAACACGACATCTCTTTCCCTGCTTAACGTCTCTTTCCCTGCCCGGGCAATGCCGAAGGATCCTCTCGGTTGGCCTTGGGGTTTTTAACGGTTTCGTCGATAGAAAGAATAAGGCATGCTGCCTCTGTTGCCGCTGTCAAGGCGTTTATTCGTACGATCGCAGGCTCCCATACACAAGCTTCGTAGTTATCAGCAATATCTTCGTGTGTGACGTCAACACCATACCACATACCACCTTTCAGGCAAAAAAAAAGAGTGAATAATATTTCAGATTAGTGCGATATCACAATCCAAAGTTAAAAGGGACCATGAGGCTGACCTCCACTCGAATACCAATGCTAACCGTTATATTCATTTAAATGATACTAACATAGATTGTGTGTTACGAAGTGTGTTTTGAGTTCCAAAGTCACTTGGTGAATTGGGTCGATTTGGGAAGCTGAATAAGCTGGTGAGTAATTTATGGTATCTTATAATTCTTGATATAAAGTACTATATACCTGTAGTAACTATACATGCATGATTTCGTTGTTTGCATCCAAGGATGAACAGCTTTACTCTCAAGTGAAACTTTAATAGTTTTACTCCCAAGTGAAACTTTAATGTTTGTACGAGCATTTCAGGATTTCAACGTAATCAGCCAATCAGTGTGAAGCTGGTTCCACGTGATTCGCTGGACGAAACCTGTCAAACCTTGACAAACTATGTTTCACGTGGGAATACGACTGTCCGTTCTTACGTATGAACGAGGTATCATTGCCTTCAGAAAATGTATTGGTTTTCGTATTGGTATCCGAACTTTAACCCTCTGATAAACTCTCGCCAAAATCATGCAATAAGTAAATACATGTAAACACTTCTAAACTTCCTCTGATAAAAGTATAGCTCCATGCATGTAGGTGTGAGAAACAGGAACACGGTATGAAATATTTCATCGATAGACAAAATTACAACACAATTCCTCTTAACAAATAAACTTTTGATAGAGTATACTAGAGCTAGCGATGGATGGATATGATATTTTACAGGAGAGTACAGTAGGTAGCGTTTCGCACCAGTACGCGCCCAAAAAACTTTCAATCTTAAGTAATTCCAGCAAACGTAAAATTAGGGAGCAATTGCAAATTTGCACCTTATATCTAGATCGTTCTCGGGACAAATCAGACGTTCTCGGGACAAATCAGACGCATCAAAATGCAGGATATGGTTTACAGGGACTCCAGATTTCAAAATTTCCCCCACGCACCGTTCCAAACTTCGCAACTCCTGTTTTCTGTGCTTGCCAACGGGACTGTCAAAAACCTCTTTCGTTTTGACCTCCCACCTCCCTCAATTTTAAAGAGTTTCTTACATACATCTACCCCACTGATACTTTATCTTATCACACATTAGTTTGCTTCGACAACTCTTACCTTGAGCATGTTTCTGACGCAGTTTATTCAATATATTCGTCGCATCAAATCCAGCATTATCACAAAGCTGTCGTGGTATCACTTCTAACGCTTTAGCCATGGCAGCTATCAACAGCTGTTCTTTGCCAGCTATGCCACGGGAATATTCCCTCAGGAATTTACTTAACTCCAGCTCAATCGCGCCACCACCTGCGACCACGGCATCGTTTTTGATCGCTCGTCGTACGATCATGATCGCGTCGTGAAGAGATCGTTCCGTCTCGTCCATAAACTGTTCGGCACCACCTCGCATAATGATCGTACATGTTCGTGCCTGGGGGCAACCTTTGAACATGTTATATCTGCGTAGAAATAAAATTCCTTAGTTCCTTCCGTATAAAAATCGCCACCGAATTCCAAAGTTGAAAATAACAGCTAATATTTCGGGGTGCTGGCCAGCAACTGCGAAAAAATTCTAGAGGAATTTGCACTCAGCTAATGGTAACAGCAACTTATATAGTTTGACAGCAGTGTAAAAGACTCAATGTGATATGAATAAAATATTGCAAGAACGTTCATTCAAGTTGTCTGACAAATGTCAGACCAACCCATGTTTTGGTTGGACATAATCGGATATAATTATTATTTTATAGCACTCAAAAAAGGGAAAAGTTGTACAGTACAATACACTGCATTGCAACTATTTCGCTTGCATGCAAAATTTTAATATTTGATATAATAGCAAATCAATATACCTCAACAATATTACAGGGTTGTTAACAGGTCTTATTTTGCAAGTCCAAGTCAAGTCACCAGTCATTTTGTTCGAGTCCAAGGCAAGTCACAAAGTCAACTCACAAAAATTGCGACTTAGCTACCTATATACTGTATTTCATGAGCGATAATCCAACGATGTTGATGATTAATAAAATGAAAGTTTCAGAGCTTCAAGCTGAACTAACAAAAAGACACCTTGATACGAAAGGTATAAAACAAGTCTTGGTCAATCGACTTCTGTCGAGTTTAGAAATTGTAGAGCCTGAAACGGCGAACGACGACGAACAACAAAATAAAGCCAAAGGAAATATGGAGTTGGCCCAAGACGAATGACAGGACGACAGTAAGGACGATGATCAAAACGACAACAAAGACGAAAATCAATCTTCGCTGAAGTACTATTAAAAGCACGCGTAGGAGTGTTTTATCAGATATAAAACGCGAGGCGCACAGCCGAGCGTTTTATATCTGATAAAACACGACTACAAGTGCTTTAAATGGCTTAAAATACGACTACAAAAGAATACTAATTGGGATGAACCATTATATAATCATATTAATTAGGATGAGTTTTATCAGATATAAAGTTACTCCACGTGACATGTTATGGCTGACATGATTTGCCACCAGGTTTATGAATTATTAATGATATCTTAATGAACTATACTCAAACTATAAGCACCCCTATTCCTTCAGAATGCCATTCACGACATTAGACTGCCCAGGGTGCGATAATTCGCGTACTTACGTACCGGAGGTACGCCAAATTTACGATCTGGTACTTCTTTGTTTTCAGCAACGTACAACTCTAGCTATCTGCGTACTTACTTTTTGCTGGTACCACATGACTTTTTCAAACCCAAGGTATTCAATACCGTAATTTAGTTGGTATATCATGTGTTTGAGATGTCTTTGCATGAAACATGATTGGACTGATGGCACTAAGAAATGTTGGAATCGATTGTTTGTATATGCAATTGTGCTTCTTTTTCTACCTCATAGTCTTAACATACTTTTCAGAAATCTGTACTTTATGAACCTTATTTTAATGACTAAGTACACATTGGGTACCGAGCTTGTACTAGCGCGCGGCGACAGCCATTGGCGTACCAGTCAGGTACGACTAAAAATCTTGAATTATCGCACCCTGATTGCAACTATACCTTTACAATGCAAATTTGAAGATTAAAAACTGAAATGTGAAAAAATGAAAATAAGCGTTTGAAATGTGAAAATACCGATTTAACTGAGAGAATGAATAACCTTGGACTCATCCTGACCGACCACCATACAAAATTAAAGATCGCCGAAGACGAAAAGGCCTATAGCCTTTCAACTGCTATCCGATTAGTACAATCCCGATGGCGACGTCGAGTTAAAACAATGTAATCTTTGAACACTTTTCACTACAAATACGCGAAATTGAAAAATATTGCCTCCTAATGGCCTTCGCGGTGACTGCATGCTTAGCGTTGGAGCTGTAATTACAGTAAATGGGGGAAGTGTATTACAATTTATATTGAAAATTACCATTTTGCTGAACGTGCAATGAAACGCGTTTGTTCTTATAATTCTAGCAACAAGAATCCTACCTTTCCCCTCCAACCTGTACTTCCTCAAACAGCTCGCAGGTTCCCAAGACGTCAGGTGTCAAACTATTGGCTGATGTTTGAATAGAACCACCACATGCTTTCATAGTTCTCTTGAGATCTTCTTCAGCCACACGACCTGCACAGAACATATCCCTAATAAAACAAGACGCCGACTCGGCGTTAACCTCGGGTCGGTGGATAGGGGATCGTCTGGTAAATATCCAAAAATTGTGTAAATCACGATAGTTTAATAGTTCACTAGTATAAATGGTGAATCAGTTAAGGGGGAGCTTCACCCCAATCGTACTTCAAAATGGACAAAACTTTAACAATTGTTAGGAGGCATATTTTTAAGCAAAATATGCATAAACTATATATTTTTAGAAACTAGAGATCTTCAGCTATCAGCTGAGACAAAAAATTGTCCAGTTCGGTGTATCGGACTGAAATTTGACACCAAAGAAGCGAGTAGTATATGGAAAACTGGATTTTACAAGCCACTTTTGCCCCCCCATAAAATTTCACATAATATGTGATGTATCTAAGTGAAAATGCACCTTGTGGTAGCTAAGATATTGAACTATGCTCCTATGAGCCATTTTTTTGTAATTCACCATGGTTGCTATGGTAACGGATAAAACAGATTGCATATACACTTTTCACTATAAATCCTGTTAGAAAATAAATATCAAAAAAATGGCTCATAGTTGCATTCTACATACCTTAAACTACATCTGTGCCAAAAATGGGAAATTTTCATTAAAACAGTAACAAGAAAAGCTAGGGGGGCAGTTGACGTGCGGCCAAATATCACATTTTGAGAAATAGACAGTTAAAGTTTAATTTCCGTTGGAACTTGTTGTTTGAGTGTTATAAGAGTGTTTGAGGCTCTATTTTTTTCTTGGCAGCTTGCTTTTGCCCTTTTTACCACTACTTTTCCTTGTCGGCCTCTTTCTCTTAGGTTGAACCACTAAAACAATC